TATTATCCCAAAAGTCTTGGGGATCATCAAGATGTTTTCTGGCAAAACTGAGACGGCCCTTTATGTTCTTTTGGCTCAGCAGTGGTTTTCGTCTTGGAACTCTGCCATGCAAACCATTTTTGCCCAGTCTCTTTCTTATGGTGGAGTCATGAACACTCACCTTAACTGAGGCAAGTGAGGCCTGCAGTTCTTTGGATGTTGTTGTGGGGTCTTTTGTGACCTCTTGGATGAGTTGTCGCTGCGCTCTTGGGGTAATTTTGGTCGGCCGGCCACTCCTGGGAAGGTTCTCCACTGTTCCATGTTTTCGCCATTTGTGGATAATGGCTCTCACTGTGGTTCGCTGCAGTCCCAAAGCTTTAGAAATGGCTTTATAACCTTTTCCAAACTGATAGAGCTCAATTATTCTCTTTCTCATTTGGTTTTGAATTTCTTTGGATCTCGGCATGATGTCTAGCTTTTGAGGATCTTTTGGTCTACTTCACTTTGTCAGGCAGGTCCTATTTAAGTGATTTCTTGATTGCGAACAGGTGTGGCAGTAATCAGGCCTGGGTGTGGCTAGAGAAATTGAACTCAGGTGCGATAAACCAGTGTTTTGACAGGGGGGCAAACACTTGTTCACACAGGGCTATATAGTTTTGGATTTTGTTTTCCCTTAATAATAAAAACCTTCATTTAAAAACTGCATGATGTGTTTACTTGTGTTATCTTTGACTAATATATAAATTTGTTTGACGATCTGAAACATTACAGTGTGACAAACATGCAAAAAGATAAGAAATCAGTAAGGGGGCAAACACTTTGTCACACCACTGTATTTGGAGCATGTCTGTGGCTCATAAACCACCTGAGGTTTGACCAAGTCAGTTCTGTGACAGCCCGAGGGGCATGGGGTGGGGATCCATAGATTGTGGAGCTTGAACCATAACACAGACCGAGTTGGTCGGTAGCTCGACCTCTGTTACAGAGATTTCAACCTTTTTAAATGTTTTTCCTCAGAGAAGTGTGTTCCTTTAATAGAAAAGGGTCCTTTTAAGGCCACAGTAAACTTGACACAAATTAGCTCGTAGAACAGAAACATCTTTGCTCAAAATAATAGGTTCTCTATTTGTACAAGGGAAGCTGGTTAGAAAATATACAAACATATCATTTAACATATCATCTGGTGTAACAGATCATAGCTGATCTCTGATCTGTACAGATCCCCCTCATGGTCCACCACACATGTAAACCACGCATTAATTGCCAATAAGACACTACCTCGTTGTGCCTGGCACTTCCGTTTCTAACAAGAGCAAGATGTTGTTGTGCACAGCAGGGAACTTTGGCTTTTCCCTCATCGGGAACCTAAAGAGAATTTGACAGTCTGATACCGTGGTTGTACTTTGTTTTTCCATGTCTATAGCTCTCTCTCTCTCTCACTCAAACACACAATCAGGTGAATGGAGAGCCTCAAGTCAGCATTCACGGTGCTCTGTAATCATGGTGGAACCTAATCAATCAGTCAGGGAGAGTGCAGGAGCAGCTTTGGAAACAGCCGTTGAACAGGCAGAACACAAACTGTAGAAATGTGACATCTCTGCTGCTTGGCTCATAGTGAACCAGCCTTAGTCCTCATTTCACCTCTAAACCAGCAGGAGTGGAATCCCTGACTGCAAAGAGGTCAATCCTCTGCCCAGAGCTCCTGTCAGGCATCATAGCAGCTAAGATGGGCAGGCACATGGCTCAATACATGAGCAGGGCCCAGAAAGGAATTGGTAGTAACACCAAAGGAGCAAAGCACCAGCTACTGGTTGATAAAGTAGTCACTCGAGACTACAAGACCAGGCATAGCAACCTGTGCACTGCATGGATTAACTACAAGAAAGCCTATGAATCAATGCCTCACACATTGATCCTGGAATGCTTGTAACTGTACAACATCGACAGGACTCTAAGAGCCTTCATCAGGAACTCAATGGGAATGTGGAAAACAACCCTAGAGGCCAACTTCAAGCCAATTGCACAAGTCAACATCAAGTGCAATATCTACCAAGGAGGTGCTATGTCCCCACTGCTGTTCTGCATAGGGCTAACCCCCCTCAGCCAGATCATCACCAAGAGTGGTTACGGATACTGACTACAGAATGGAGCAACCATCAGCCACCTCGTCTACATGAATGACATCAAGCTGTATGCCAGGAGTGAACGAGACATCAACGCACTGATCCACACCACTAGGATCTACAGCCAGGACATCGGAATGTCATTCGGACTGGATGAGTGTGGTCGAATGGTAACAAGGAGAGGGAAGGTAGTCAGAACTGAGGAGACTGTACTACCAGAAGGCAACATAGCAGATGTTGAGGGCAGCTACAAGTACCTTGGGATCCTGCAGGCAAATGGGAACCATGAAGAGGCTGCAAGGAAAGCAGCAACCACCAAGTACCTGCAGAGAGTAAGGCAAGTCCTGAGAAGTCAGCTGAATGGAAAGAACAAAGTCCGGGCGACTTGTAACTCTGACATAGCCTCCACAGTCCAGCTCTTCACTGTTTTGATCACAGCCTTTGCAACTTTAGGTTTCTGCCTGTAGGTTGGAATAATATCATACAGTGATCAAAGTGTCCGAGGGCTGTGGGACAGAGCAATAGGCGTCTTTTATTGCTGTGTAGCAGTGGTCCAGTGTGATTTTGTCCCTGGTGGGACAGGTGACATGCTGCCTGTATTTGGGCAATTCATGGGTGTGATTTGCTCTGTTAAAGTTCCCTAGAACAATGAATGGGGAGTCGGGATGTTCCAGTTCTACACTGGTTATCAGGTTGGTCAGGAGCTGTAGTGCCTTTCGTTTTAAATAGACACCAATGAGGATGAAGCTTGAAAATTCTCAGGGAGAATAGAAGGGTTTGCAGTTGATAAAGAGAGTCTCTAAGTCTGTATTACATGTCCTCTGTAGCACCGTGACATCAGAGCACCAACCTTCATTTATGTAGAAACAAATTCCACCTCCTCTGGTTTTCTGGGACAGCTCCGATACGCGATCCGCTCTGTATACCCGGAAGCATGGTATTGCACTGTCCACGATGGAGTCACTGAGCCAGGTCTCTGTGAAGCATAAGGCAGCAGAGCATGCAAAGTCAGGTTTAGTCCTTTTATGAGAAGGATTTCATCCATCTTGTTGGCTAGGGAGCGGAGATTTGCTAGGTGGATAGACGGGAGTGGAGTCCTTGTTCCTCTCTGACGAAGCCTGACTAAAACACCTGCTCGCTTGACCCACCGGCGTTTTTTCGAGGTCCCGTAGATTACAGCTGCCCCTCCGATCAGAATGTCCATACAGCATTCTTCGTTCACAAAAATCGGAGAAAGGTTGTTTGGTGTGAGTTGTCCAATATTTAACAGTTCTTCTCTGGTAAATGTTTTACAGCCCTTATTTTGCCATTACTAGGTTTTACACTGTGGACCAACATAGCCATTGTACATTTTTCTGCAATACTGTGTTGATCAGCACAAACCAGCTTTGTGCTCTGTCCTGTTTCTAAATCAGAAAATCAGGAAACGCATAAAACTAGATAGATTGGACTGCAAGTATGAGAGAAACCAGCTGTTACTGTTTGGATGAACTGTCCCTTTAATGTGTATAAGAGCACCTCCAGCACAGCACAGCAGTTCAGTCACCTCACAGGGTTTGAGCTGCCATTTCCCAGCTTAATGTAAATGTGGAGAGTAACACTTTATTATACAAAGTCACAAATGCCTTTAATTAACCACTAGGCTGTCTCATACTGAAGCATTTGCATCATAACCAGCTCCATTTGTCCCATTTAAAAATGATTTTTTTCGGAGAGTAAGTAGTAGGTATGTTTGTTGATGCTCTTTGGATGTTCACGCATTTTCATTCTTGCTCCTTTTTTGTGCTTGTGAAAGTGAGCAAGTAGCTCTTCATGTCTATTAATGACATCCATTACTTTTTTATGAGAAAGGATTTATTTCTCTGGCCTTGTGGAGGCAGTCTTCCCTATTGGTGTTGGTGGTGTTGTAATTTAACAACTATTACAGTGTTTGTCTCAGGCCCCAAATGTGCCAGTTCACTCAAGGCAACCTCTCTCTCTTTCTTTCTTTGTTTCTCTCTCTCTTTCTTTGTGTATCTATGTGTAACATCCTCATCTTTTTTGCCCAATCTGCTTCATTGGGCACAATTTCATTGTATTTGTTGGTGGTGGTCCCAGGAGCCCACACAGCAAAGAACAACTTTTCTTCTGGCATCTTCCTAACTGACCCATGGCAGCCTGTGCTGTGTCATGTCTTCAATAATTTATAAACACTTCTCTCAGAGGGAGAATATTGTGTTCTTATAGAAAAGAACAGGAATGTGTGTTGTTGTCTCCTGATATTGTACCATTTATCTAAAACGCAGTATCTTATGTTCATCCTTGCAAAGACTTTAGCATACAGATGCAACAAGGGGAAAAATATCAACTTTATTTGAACAAAAACAGGGATAAGTATTTCTTTTTTAATTCACAGCATAAAACAGGTGCAGGTCATATTCCTTATTTGTACACAAGTCAAGCAAATGAACCTGGAAATATCCAGCTTCTGAAGTATCTAGTGTGTTTTATATAAGCTTAACTAATAATTATGGTAATAATTAAGTCACACGCACAAACATATAGATGGGAACTATAAAGGATTTTCATGGTGTGAAAACTTACTATTAATGCCAGACATGACATCTCTCCCCATAAAACTAATGCTGTGAAACGTGTTAGGGTTGAGAGCTATTCTCAGTCAGGAAGACAGTTATTACAGCTATTAAAATCAACATCCACTTTACATAATGATGGCAATTAGCTGCAGCTACCTTGGCTGGAAAGCATACGACCATTCCCACCCACATAGTGTGGAGATAAAATAAGCTGTTTTGTCTCCCTGTTTGATAACTCACGTTTAACACAGGAAATACAGAGGCTATTTAGACACCTCCACTAGTTGACTGATGGCCCTTCTGTTTCTCTCAACTTTTATAGGAATACTGCTCCAAGAGAGTTTTATCGAGGAGCCTGATGGCCTGGTGTCTGTAAACCTGCTGGTGGTGTCTGCTGTTTCAGCCTTCGCAACAGGAGCTATCCTCTCTGGTCTCACTGTTTGCTGGATCATGAGCCACCGCCACCGTCACACTCGCAGCTCTGGTGCCAGTGGTGCCCGCCGCAAAAGTGACAAAGAGCAGAGCATGCTGGGGCAGGGCCGCAGCGGTTCTGTAATGAGTGTAACAAGAACCAGCGGTGGTGAGAGGCGGCGTTCGCAGGCAGATAACCCCTTTGTCAACGGATGGCCTAAAGGAGAGATGGACCCAGGATTGCTGCCTACCCCAGAGCAGACCCCACTGCAGCAGAAACGGGCCATGCGTCTTCCAGACACCGACTGGGAGCAGAGCCAGACATATCTCACTGCTGTGGGGACTCCTTGCCCTAACAACTCTGTCATCTACCTGAGCTCTAAGTTTCTGCATAGCGGTGGAGGGGGTGGAGGGATGGTCCGGATAGAGGACCCAGGGGAGGTTGTGCTGCCCCTGCACCCAGAGCGCCAGCGCTACCTGATCCTAGCCACCCAGAGAGGGGAGCATGGTGGCAGCCGCCCCACTGGCACCTTGAGGAACTCAGCAGGAGACTACATCTACCCTGCCACTCCACAGGACTCCCCTGACCGACGGAGGGTGGTTTCTGCTCCCACTCCCTACATGGACTACGGGGAGCCTCGCTGGAGTCACGAGACGCTCAACTACAACAGCAACAATGGAGCACCCTATCACTCCCAGCGCCAGGGCCTCATAAGGCCAGACATGCATGGGCCTCGAGGGCTGGGAGAACTGGCTGACTTCAGCCATCTTCTAGGGAAGAACATGGGAGAGCGCACCCCCAGCGGCCAGTGAGGTGAAGCATATGAACCCTGACACCAAGCTCTCTCTGAACACCCATTCCCTTCAACAGTAAAGTGGAAGAAATCAAGCCCTCAGACTCACTGTCCCAGTCCAACCTTACCCAGTCTGTCCTCTCTCACTGTCATTCAGTGTTCTGATGTCATTCAGCTGCCTGGAGAGAGAGACAGAGAGAGAAGAAACAGAGTTGAAAAAGAGGAAAAAAGCCTCCACATTTGCATTCCTCTGCTCTTAATCTGAGGAGCACCCCTCTGCTCTGTTAGTGGTATGACCCACAGAGCATGACTTTTACACCACAGGACACACAGTAGAGAGAGGTGCAAAGGAAGGGGAATGCTCTCTATGACACAATGTGTAGATTAAAAAAAGACAATTTCCCTTGCAAAACCAAATGTGAAAGGTCTCCCTCCGCCATTTTGTTTAGTGTTTTGACACCATGGTTCTTCGAGTGTAACATTTTGTTCCTGTCTTTTTGTTTGTCTGTGTGTGTTTGTCTGTGTGTGTGTGTGTGGGTGTGTGTGAGAGAGAGAGAGAGAGAGATTTGCTTTGGATCTCAGATGAGACTAAAACTGTAGTCATGCCAGACTTTATGAACCATGCAGCATTGGATTGTGTGAAAGTGTGTGTGGCCACAACAACCCCAACCACTGTCCTGTCTTAACTGTGAAGTATAACTATAATGAAGTTGGTGATTATATTGTTTTCCCTTTTCATAAACTGTAAGAAAGAGACAAAATTGATTTTATCATGTCTGCTTGAAGCTATATGTGTTTAACAATCAGAGGTTTGGATGGTCAAGTGGTGGCTAGTGAAGGGTTGAGACTCCAGGTAATAGTTTTGTGACTCCTAGTACCTCAGAGGGACCCTTGGATAGAGCCATGATGAAGTTAAAAAGAGCAATAATGAGCAAGAAACATATAAGGCTGAAGAGAAAGCCAATTTAATTAGGTAATTTTATCATTTTTTCAGCAAAGCAAACTGAAGCCTGAAGAAAAAGTGAAGAAAAAGCAGAGTGCTAGGAAAAGCAGCAGTATCTCCCTTCTGTTTTTCCTTCCCCAGAACGCCTGGGTCAGTCTGACCTGACCTGAGGCCTCCCTAGGCTCCACACTCCATTTGAAGAAGGGAATGTGAGCTGTAGCTGTCTGGCTGTCTGAGTGAGACTGTGAGGCCCGGCCGCTTGGGAGCTCCATTCAGCCTCTTTTGCCTGACACTGACCTCCTTTGTGCCCCAGAAGCAGGAGGAGACAGCAGCAACAAATAACCGTTAAGAGTCAGGCATCAAGCCCAGCCCTACAGCCCAGCAGAATACCAACAAGGAGGACAGCAGCTCCATCCGTCATGTGAGACGTACCGACCAGGCCCAGGCATCTTGTATGTTTCACCCACTTGCGAGGACAGAGAGTAGCTAAGGGCTGAAGCTGGGGTGGAGACCAGGGATGGGGCACAATGCTAGCTGTCACAATGCTCATCCCTTGTGGCTTAATCCCTTTCTCTTTCTCACTGTGTTTCCTAACAAAAGTGGGATAAAGACAACAGATGGACATGGGTACACTTGAATGTGGAGTTTATTTCACTCCGTTGTCTTATCTTTTGATGGTTTCTGTTCTTCTGAGTTCTCATCCGTTCTTGATTCAAATGTAGATCCAGAGATAGCTTTAGTTAATCGGGGTCACAATGTACCTGAGGCGGTGTGTGTGTGTGTGTACTCTGTGTGTATGAGTCCCTTAGGGTTTGTGTCCGTGAATGTGTTACTCACTGAGTGCAAAAAACCGCTTTGATCAATTTTACTTTCATTCTCACCTGTATTTTTTCCCAGCCCTTTTCTTTTCTCTGTTGAGCCATTAATGTTGTGCAGTAATGCTTTGCTTGACATTCACAAATCCATGCTCAAAGTGCTGGAGCCCTGCGTGGGAGCAGTGCATGCTATACAATATGTTTAAATCATTATACTGTACACAAAGAAGTGCAAAATAAAATGAAGAATCTGGGCTGTGCTTGGCTGGAGGGAATTTGGCATCAGGTGAGAGATACTCTACCACACAATGAAATATCGTAAAGTACAAAAACTAGGGATGGACGTTTGAATATTTTGGTACTGGTGGCTACATGATATGATACCTTTCAGTTTTTGAGACAGAAATCTAAAAACGTGTAAAATGTACACACTGTTCTAACTTTGCTTTATAGCATCCTTTAGCTTGATGCTTGGTTTTCTGGCCTGGAACTTAATTATCTTGGTTCACTCTCACAGCTGTCACCAGTGGTGTTTTCAACCACAGCGGGCAGCTTTTCTCAGCAGTAATGCTACAAAGATCGACAGTAGACCACCTGCCTAGCACCAAATGGCAGATTGTCAAAGTTGGTGACTAGCCAGTGAACCTAGAGGAGAATTGTGTGACAAAAAGAGGCAAAAAGAAAAGATATTTTCCACACAAATTGGTGGAGGCCAAAACAAAACTAAAAGGAGAGTGACTATTAGCCATCAGGTGGTCTGAAACATGACTCCAATGAATAGTATCATTGCTCTATATCTGCTGGATGTGTAAATAAGCAACCAAATACTAACTTATTCACCTTAAAAGGTGATAAGTCAGTGTTGTCTTCACAGCCTTTGTAATGTTCCAATGCCAATAGGGTACCAAACACTACAGTATATATTCTTTAAAAACAAAAAGAAAATTAAACATCTTTCTCCAAAATCCTTTTTCTATTTCAACAAAAGTATTGAGGTGATAAAGTTTATCCAAATACAAGCAGTCCCACAAGAATAAATGAGACTGTGCACATTTAAATATATAGTACATCCAGAGCTGTCGGATAAAAAGCAAAGTAGACAAGATTGTAAATCTGGCCAGATATATTGATAGCAGCTGGCATTTTTGCCTTAGAGGTTTGATACCCAACCCTAAAAAACACACAGCCAAGAGTTGAAGGTGGTGCATGGGACAAGTCAGAGAAAGCAATAAATGAAAATGAGGACAGAAGAGAAGGTCAGGCGGGAAAACGCTATGTTACTGCATTACTGCCTTGCCACATTAGTATAGTGTATTCTTTAGGCATTCCAGTCTGAAACAGGTCATTAGTATTGAAGATACAAAGCTTTCCACCAGCCCACTCCCTCATCTCTGCCTCTCTTTGACTCCCTCCCTGTCTCCATCTCTGCTGCGGTGTGAGTGCTGCGTGTCCGTCCATATATATGTGTGTGTGTGTGTGTGTGTGAATGAGGGCTCTCTGTGTCGGCTGCCGTGTCCTCGCTCTGCATCTCCTCCAGTGTTTCACTAAACATGCTTGATTAGGCAAAGTACATTGCTGGCCCTCTAATGGCCCAATAAGCCCCTGGGACGATTAGTCCAGACACATCAGCCCTAAGAGGGAGGTGCATGTTGAACCAGCTCTTTACCTCTCCACTGACCACCAGCCACACACACACACACACACACACATGGAGGCACACAATTGCTGTAAGCCTTTTAACCAAATTTGGGATGCAATTGAATTAAGATCAGAAATCGAGCTCAGGCTCGAATTAGGCTGACGCTGGCTTTGTTTTAAGAAAGATACTGTACGTGATGTTATCTTAGTGACTGCATAATTTGATTACCTTATTTCAACATTACAGGGCAGCTAAAGAATTCAGGTGTAAGCCCATGGAAGCCTGTATGCTTATTAAAGCCATCATCCTCCCTCTTCTTTACATAGTTCATGTCATTCCCTCCATGTTCAGCAGCTGCACTTTGTCTTCTTCTTCTGTCAAGCCCCTTTTATTGTTAACAGACATACGCTATCTCTTTACACACACTCACATGCACATGCCATATCTCTAGCCAGACTGCTTTGTGCCTATTTGTCATTATTAAAGGTTAGCTGCTTAATTTAATGAGTCAGTGACAGGAACAGAAATCAAAGTAATTCACAAAATCCTGCTTTATTTCACATCAAATCCTTAATGTGTTACAATGTTTTTTAGGCATTTTCAAAACCTCTCATGCAGTAAATTGCTTTCCTTTGCTTTGAAATGATTGTGTTTGGAGGTTTTTTGTTAAGTGTAGCACATACCGCCTCCGGTGCTACACACATACATACTCATGTTATTCCTATTCATCTCCACCCTCCACATATTGACACACACACAATTCCCTCCCAGCCCTCGTGACCCTGTGTGTGTGTGTGTCTGTGTTTTTATTTATCAGTTTGTGTCTGTGTCTAAAGAGAGCACGCCTTTGTGTGTTGGGGTTGTTTGTGCCGTGTGACCCAGTGATGCAATGCCCCCCAGCCAATAACTGCCAGCTTTCTCTACAGTGCTTCACTGTATTGTGTGTGCTCTGTGCCCCAGAGAGAGTCCAAAAACGGAGGCTAACTTGTAGTAAATCCACCATCATACTTGTGAAGAGTGACATGAAACTGTTAAGCCAACATATGAAAGGAAAAAGCACAAAAACAAGGCGAAAACAAAATCAAGATGAGCATTTTTGTAAAGATGTAGATGTATGTAGGGAGCACTGCTCAGTTTTGTCATGTTTGATTTCTCTATCGTTTGTTTTTGTGGTAGATATTTGGTTTGAAATTATATAGAATATTATTGTATATGATTTCTATTTCAGTTCTCTGGTGTTCCAGATGTGATGACGACAATGAAGATGAACTTGATGACTATCATAATTATTATATTGACAGTGACAGTGAAGTAGTACTATGAGTATCGCTGTTTGGATGCTGAATCTAAAAGGAAGAGGAGAAGTGAATGAACTCATAGAGACTGAGGTTCGAAAAGAGATTTTTCTCCTGCTACTGTGAAGGACCTTGCCATCCTGCGGCTCTTGCCAGAGGCTGTCTCAACAGGGACCTCGGTGCAGGTTCTCATCAGATGACACGTTCCTACTACATGTACATAACCCTGATGCTTACATGTAATTTAAGTGCAGTAGCTGCATGACGACACAGCCTTTGTGTGTGTGTACAGAAGTAGCGACGTGAATTTGTACAGTACATGCAAGTGTGTGTGCTTGTGTCCGCAAAGAAACTTGTCATCACGCAAAAAGCAACATGTGCATGAACTCTCCAGCAAATGCACAGAAAACACACACAGAGCACACAAACACACACAGTCACACTCCAGCCGTTGTTCACCATCCTCCACATTGTCCTGAGCTCTGCCTGTCACTCCACATGGAGACTTTGCTCTATGTCAACTTTCTCATTCAAATAAACCACGCAGGCTTTGACCTTGTTGACATCACTGACTATAGTATGTTTGGATTTTTCTGTTGTTCTGTTCTCTTTATTTATTTATAGACTCACAATACTATTTAAAAAACCATAGCACACTGATTTATACTGTACAATGCAAAATTTGTTCCTCTCATAAAAGACTATTCTGTTGCTTGTTATGTCAAAGCAGCAGGAGAGGAAGTATTACGTTTGCCTACAGAATCTGTTACAAATTAAACTTCTGCATTAAAAATTCTGCCTTACTAAAATAAAGAATTATCAGCAAAGTATATTTAAAGTATCAAAACTCAAAGTAGGCGGCACAGTGGGGCGATGGTTAGCATTGCCCCCTCACAGCAAGAAGGTTCTGGGTTTGAGCCCCAGCCAACACAATGCCTTTCTTTGTGGAGTTTACGTGCTCTCCATGTGCCTGCGTGCCGTCTCTCTGGATACTCCAGCTTCCTCCCACAGTCCAAAGACATGCAGCTTAGATTGCCCATAGGAGTATGGTTGTCCACCTCTTAGTGTCAGCCCTGGAATAGACTTAGGACCTGTCCACACACCATGAAGAAAGATAATGTAAAATTTGTAAAATTGCTCAATTGCACTTGTGAGTGTAATGGAGTCTGCAGTTTATGTAGTAGTCTGTTGATCTTACCTCTTTCATACTAAGACCATGATGCAGATCAGATGAATGAAGTAACCTATATACTTCACTAGCTCTCTGTATCACACTCAGGTGTGTGATGAGTGGCCCACTGCTCGGAGCTTGTTGGAGCCCTCTTTTATCATTAGTCTCTCTCCATTGCAAACTCTTTTCCTGCACCTGGGTGTAATAGTGCATGGCCATAAAATATGAATTGAAAATACTACTATAAATGTTTTGATTTACGCAAATGTACAGTATCTCACTCGATAGTCATTAAGTTGAGGAAAAATGAAATATAGAATAGTATGTGGTGATCTCTGTTTATATAGAAATACCTTATGACATTTAAAACAAAGAAAAGTGTTATAAATATACATTATTGTAACTGAAAAACAACATGGGGTCAACATGAGTTACAGCTGACCCCACTTCTGTCCATTGGCTAAAACCGACAGCAGTAACCAACAGTAATAAGTAAACACGCTTTAGA